TCTGGCTCCTTTTACGGTACAGCAGCTGTTGGCGAGCTTCTGGAGAAGGGTTTTGCTCCTGCGCTCACGAGAGACAGAGCTCTTTAGTTCTCTTTTTTTGTATTGTCTTTAGTTTTGGTGTCAGTCAAATACCTCACTTCATAAAATGAACTGGGCTATGCCCCCCCCTTTTAATTTTCCGTGGGAGTGTGTGCTGGATTGGCATTATTATTATTTTTTAAATATTAGGCAAAATTATTCAGCAAGGCTCCCAGGGCCTGGAAGTTCCTATTCTTGTATTTTTATAATTACAGTTTCAGTGTGTTGATTGTTCTAGTGCTGTTCAAATGGCCTGTGTCAGACTGGGTGAATTCTGATAGTTTGTACTTTTGGAGAAACTGGCCGACTTCAGATGACTAGTTGTCCACTCTCCGTTGTTAGCTTCTGACAGCTGCCGGTCGTCATTCTAACCCGCTTCCCTCCCGACGGCGCTCATTTATACATTCTCGTTTCTTTTCTCAATATCTGTAGATTCTAATATTGATTTTTATTAAAGGATAGCTTGCTTTTCTTCCATTGACTTTATATTTTTCTGTTCCAATATTTCGGCTTTGGCTACTCAGTTCACACAAGCCCACCGTCCCTTCTCCCTGTTCTCTGCTTCCACCTGCTTGTCTGGGTTTACGCTGCTGTTCTTTTTTTTTTTTTTTAACGATTTATTTTATTTATACAAGAACCGGGGAACAGGCCAGATGCGCCGGACAGAACAGACAGACTGATGAAATACACTGCCGAGGGGAGCAGCCGGGAGACAGGAGAGGTCTTCTCGCCATGTGGCCGGTGGGGATTGAACCGGTGGGAATCGAACCGGCGTTGCAGATGCTGTGGACAGCTTCACAGCGCTGCGTTCAACCACCTGTGCCACCAGCGAGGCCCAACGCTGCTGTTCTTTATCCCGAGGCGCAGTTCAGTTTTTCGGCCACTTTTCTCTGGTGCTCAGATTGGGCGAGTTTATTTTTTCCTCTTTGAGTTCACGGGCTCCTTTTCCTGACCCTGCCCCCTGCTCGTGAGCCCCTCACTGAGTTCTCAGAATGCTGACCCTGGTTTTCAGTGCTGAAAGTTCTATTTCGTTTCCCTTTTCCCGTCTTTCTCTGCTGAGCCCTCCTTGCGTGTGCTCCAAGCCGACGCGCACATTTTTATTGACGTATTTGCCACGGCGGCTTCCAGATCGCTGCCCGAGGCGGCCCCGCTCCTGCATCTTGTGTTGGCGCTACGGGGGCGTCCACTGCATCCAGTGTGAGCTCTTGCTGGTTTTGGTGTGGCAAGTGATTTTTGATGGAAACTTGGACATTTTAGGAACTGTATTAGGAGAATCTAGATTTATCGAACTGTCTGTTCTCATTGGTCACCCCTGGTGCCGCCCAGCGGGGACCTGGGTGCCTGCCCGGCTCTGCTGGCACCAAGGAGAGCTCGTCCTTACTGCTCGGTGAGGGTGGTGGTGCTGGCCCCTGGGCCTCACTGACATCTCTCTGGGAGGAGGGACCCCCGGCAGAGGTGGGGTGCTTAGTGTTCCCCACGTGGCCTCCACTGGCGCCGTGGGTAGGGGGACTTCACTGCTGTCGGAAGTGATGTCGCTACTCTGTGAAAACCCGACCCTCCACCAGGCCTCCTCGGACACCACCCCGCGGGGAGGGGAGGTGGGGGACAAGCTGGGGTGCACCCTCACATTCAAACGCTGTCAGCCTTCTAAGGAATGAGGGACTAACACGGTGACAGCTTGGTGGACCCCAAAGACACAGGCTGAGCCCAGCAGCTCCCCTGGAGCCCCGCAGCAGTGCTGGCGAGGTTGGGGGGCAGGGAGGCAGCGTCCTACTCGCAGGCTGGGGAGGAAGGAGGGGCTGGAGGGGCAAGGAGTGCTGGGGGGTGGGGCTCTCCAGCATCTACAGGGTGAATTGAAACTACTCTACACCCTGCTGTCAGGCTCTCGGGGGTGTTAGCACCCAGGTTCTCTGCAGCTGCTCACAGTCGTCAGATGTGGAACAACCTACATCTCTATTGACGGATGAAGTTAAGAAAAAAGCAAGACTGGGAAAGTTCATGTCACTTACGGTTCTGTTTACGCGACAGTCTGGAAAGGGCAAAACTGTAGGGACAGAGAGAGCTCTGTGGGGTGAGGGGCTGGAGTTAGGGACTGTTCAAATCGGTCGGGGTGACGTGGGTTGTATTCTTTATTTATTTCACTTCGTTTCTTCTCTCTGTCTCTCTGCATTTTACAATAAAGAAGCCCGGAAAGGTCCTTCCCCACCATCCCTTCCTCCCCTCCGACCCGCGCCCCTCCCTCGCCCCCTCAGAGACCTCACTTCTCCTAGTGCCCACTGCTCTTTCTCCGTGTCTTTCTTTGTTGAATGTCACACAAATGTCCAACCTTTGTCCTTGTCACTCTGATTTGCTTCACTCTCCGGAATCCCTCGAGCTCCCTGCACTTTGGGGTAAACAGCACCACCGCGTCTTTCCCGAGGCCGACGCCTTCTCGCCCGGCCACCGGTCAGCGGCGCGGCCCTGGTCCCCCGGGTCTCCTCCTGTCTTCTCCCGCCGTGGCGGCCGTGCAACCGTGGCTGCTTATCGAGATTCCTAGAACTACACACCCAGGGGTGCGGTGAGCAGCAGTGTGCGAACTGTGCTGTGTGCAGCTGTGCCTTGTCAAGAAACGGCTCCGTGCAGGAGGCGTGTGGACGGCTCAGACGTCTGCGGAGCGTGAGCTCTTGCCAGCTGTCTGTGGCCCGAGATCGTCTTTGCAGGCCCCGATGGGCAGGCCTGTGGTGTGCGCTGAGCATGGCTGTGCGCACATAGTGTGTCCACAGGGGGCCCAGCTGGCCATTTACCACGTGGCGCCCTGTCGTCCTCTGAACCCTCAGCCCTGGCCCATTGTCCTGCTCCTCCTTGAATTCAGGGCTGTGTCTGTTGCTATTATCCTGGCTAATTAATGTAATGAAATAAAACAGTAACCAGCACCCACACGGACTCTGACGGGCCTTACCTGGTGACAGCCTGCACAGGGCTTGGTCCTGCTCCATTCCGCGGGCCTCGCTGCCAGGCCTCGGGACCAGCCTCGGGCATGCCCAGCCCATGGGCACAGCTGCTCTGGGGGAGCTTCCCTCAATTTGTTTAAACAAAATACATGTTATCACTAAGTGGGATTAATTTCAGCGACGTCCCGTGGGAGCAAGTGTCTGGTCCTGAAGGCGCCGTAGGGAGGGAGGCCTGCTTGCAGGGCGGGGTCCTCGAGCCAGGCAGCCACCCTCAGAGAGGCTTCCAGAGCCCCTGGACTCTGACAGCAGTCAGAGACGCTCTCGCTTTGGGGGAAAATTCACCATGTGTGTAATTGAAGTTGTAATTTCACTTCGGGTCCCGCAGGCCCAGATACCCACATGAGTGGGCACCTTGGGGAGTTTCTTGGAGGGGGCAGGGCTGGCAGCTGTGTGAGGCGTCACCCCACAGATGGGGCAGGGACTGTAGTGGGGGCCTCGTGCCCGGCTCCGAGCCACCAGCACAAAACGTGCCCCCCATGCCGGGCCCCCCGTGGTGGGCTGACCCGCCGCTGCCCGCAGCGCGGTCAGGCTCGATGACACAGCCTCGGTGGGCAGCTCCGTCACCCGCCCCCACGGCCTTCCCGAGTCGCTCCCCGGGACATGCTGGAGGCGACGCCTTTCCTGGGGCGCCCATCCCGAGCGGCATCCCTTTCCAGAGGCGCTGAATGGAGCCTGCGGCACTGACTGGTGGGGGAGGAGACAAGGGGTAGGAGGGAAAAGAGGGTGGGGGAGGAATTGCTCGTTAATAGTTCAAAATATTATGGCGTGAAGTTGAAAACTCAGGCAAGCCGAGGCTGGCTCCTGCGCGGCGCCTGCGCGAGCTCCCCCGGCCTGCGGCGGCTCTGCCGGGCCTGGGTCCGGCCAGCAGTGTGTCCAGGGCCCGCGCCAGCACAGCGGTGGGCAGGGACGGGCCCCGGGCGTCTGCTCCCCCGGACGCACCACCCAAGTTCCGCAGCCGGTGGAAGGGCGGCCTGGGAGCCAGCCTGTCCTGCGGTCAGGTGGGCGCGGAGATCCGAGCGGCCGCCGCCGTCTGACAACCTTGCTGCTGAAGCGGAACTTTTTTTTTTTTGAGGGGCTAAGCTGGAAGGTGGCTGAAGGGCTGTGCAGCTCCTAGGGGTGGGTCTTTAGGAAGCGGCATGTCTGGCCCCGTCCGCTAGTCCCAGGCCTGTCTGACTTCCCCGGGCTCTGCTCCCCTGCCCCCCGGGGCATGGCCAGGTCCCTGCCCCTGCCTTGCTCGAGCCCACTGGCCCTGGCTGAGCAGGAGCTGGTTGTCTCTCAGCAGCACCTGGAAGGCTTGGAGGCCCCACCTTTGAGCAGAGACCCACACAGGCCAAGAAGTGCTCCCTTTCCACTGGGGGGCCGTGGGGCAGATGTAATACAGGATGCCCAGCTACATCCGGATTTCAAATACACGATGCACACTGTTTGAGAGCACGCATGATGCCCACGAGGCTTGGGGCTGCTTAGACTAAGTCCCGTGTCATTTATCTGAAATTGAAACGTGGATGGGCCCTGAGGCCGCTGTGCCCCGCAGGCCAGCCTGCCCCCCAGGGACCCCTCTAGCCGCGGGCACAGCGCCCAGGCGGGAAGGCCCGTTGGAAGCACCGGCTCCCTGCCCACCTTATAGACCAAGTCCCCAGGAGATGGTGGAGGCTCGCCTGCCTGTGGGGACTCACCGGTCAGCCCGTCCCTGAGGGCCTCCCTGGCCTGGGCCCGGTGTGGGGGCCGGGGAACGAGGCTGCGGGGCCTGTGAGGAGGCCCAGAATCAGAGCTGCCCCAGTTGTATCAAACCGGAGATAGAGCCAGGGCCTGGGGCCAAACCCTGTGAGGCTCTCGTGGGGAGTCAGGGCTTCCCTCTCTGACCCGTTTGGTCTGGCCCAGCCTGGGGCAGCAGTGTCTTCCTGGGGCACCCAGGATTCAGCAGGCGGGGAGATGCCCCCGGTGCAGGGAGGGGCATGCCTGGATGAGGAGCTAAGGTAGGGTCTGCTTGTGTCCACAGATTGCCTGTGATCCCGACACCCGATGATGTGGGATGGAGGTCCCAGAGCTCACCTGTCCTGCCTCACCTGCCAGGGACCAGCCGGCTCCTGCTCCTGGCCCCCCCGGGGCCCCAGGTGGGCAGGCCTCACCTCACCTGACCCTGGGCCCCGTGATCCTGCCGCCACCGCCAGAGCAAGGCCTGGCCCCCACCGTGTTCCTGAAGGCCCTGCCCGTCCCGCTGCACCACACAGTGCCCCCCGGGGGCCTCCAGCCACGTGCCCCCCTGGTGACCGGCGGCCTGGACGGGGCCAGCGTGCCCTTCATCCTCAGCCCCCTGCTGCAGCCTGAGGGGTCCGGCCCCGCCCCGGTGGCGGGGAAGCCGACGCTGGCTGTGAGCATCGTGGGCGCCCTGCCGGTGCTGTCCCCGGGCCTGGGGCCCGCGCTGGGCAGCCCGGGGCGGGTGCGCGGCGCTGGCCGGTACCTGTGCCCGCACTGCGGCCGGGACTGCCTGAAGCCCAGCGTCCTGGAGAAGCACGTCCGCTCCCACACGGGGGAGAGACCCTTCCCCTGCGCCACCTGCGGCGTCGCCTTCAAGACCCAGAGCAACCTGTACAAGCACCGGCGCACCCAGACGCACCTCAACAACTCCCGCCTGTCCGCAGAGTCCGACGGTGCGGGGGGCGGCCTCCCGGAGGGGGCAGGCAAGGCCGGGGGGCCCTCCGCAGCAGACAGACATGGGGACACCTGGAGCCAGAGGGCGGGTGCTGGGGTGGCCCCGGGGACGGCCCTTTCCCCAGGCGTCCAGGCCACCACGCACCCGTCCCCCGTGGCCAGGAGCCTGGAGACGCAGCCGGACACTGTCCCCTGCTCGGGGCCCCCCAGTGCTGACAGAGAGGCCCCGAGCCCCGGGGCGCCCCCTGTAAGTGCACAGCCCAGGTGGAAGCTGCCGGAACAGAAGTCCCCCACGGCCTTCAAGCCGTGCCCCCTGCAGCAGCCGCCGTCTCAGGCCACTTGCGCGGAGAAGTCCTGGGAGGCCAAGGCCCCGGAGGGGCGGCTGCGGAAGTGCGAGAGCACCGACTCGGGGTACCTGTCCCGCTCGGACAGTGCCGAGCAGCCCCTGGCACCCTGCAGCCCCCTGCACGGCCTGTGGGAGCAGGGCGCGCCAGCCGAGGGTGAGGGCACCCCGGGGCCCGGGGAGCGGGGCGCCGGCCTGGAGCTGGAGAAGCGGCAGCTGGAGGAGCGCATCGCCAGGCTCATCTCGCACAACCAGGCCGTGGTGGACGACCCGCAGCTGGACCACGTGCGGCCCCGCAAGACCGGCCTGTCCAAGCAGGGCAGCATCGACCTGCCCACGCCCCACACCTACCGCGGCTCCTTCCACTTCGACATCCGCGCGCGGGAGCCCGGCCGCCGGCGGCCCACGCCCCTCTGCCCCGCGCGCTCCACCCTCACCCTGCTGGACAAGGCCCGGCCGCTCTTCTTCCACTCCGTCCCCACCCAGCTGTCCACCACCGTGGAGTGCGTCCCCGTCACCAGGAGCAACTCGCTACCGTTTGTCGAGGGCACCAGGACGTGGCAAGAGCTGCGGGACCCCCAGGGCGCCTGTCCCCCGAGGCAGAAGCCGCTGAGCCCCAGGCCCACCCCCACCCCACTGGGGGGCAGCTCGGGGCTGACCTGGGTGGGTGTGCCCAGCGGTCACCCCCGGGCCCTGATCAGACAGTCTGCCGTGGAGGACCGGCCGGGCACGCCCCCCGGGGACACGGCAGCCCCAGCGGAGGACTCCGAGGGCGCGCGGGCAGCTGGTAAGGGCAGGGCGGCCGCCAGGAAGTGTGGTGCGAGGAAGCTGCAGGCGTTCTCCCAGGACAAGTGGCAGGTGTACGGGAACGAGACGTTCCAGAGAATCTACCAGAAAATGAAGACCTGCCGCCCCGGAGGCAGGAAGGCCAAGGAGGCCAGAGCAGGTGGCAGGGCAGAGCCGACTCTTCCCCTCCAGGAAGAGGCCACGGGCCGCCCAGACACCCCGCCCCGGGATGTCAGGACCCCTGTCTGCGGGGACACTCCGGCGGGAGCCACGCTGAGGCCTCGGGGAAGCCCACCGGCCTCAGAGGGCCTCGTGGGGACCGGGCTGCCCAAGCAGAGGGAGACTGCGGCCAGAGCGGGAGGTGGTGGCCAGACCAGAGTGGACAGGGCCGCGTCACCCCCCACCCTCTGCTGCAAAGAAGACCCTGGTTTGAGGAACGAGGACCCTCATCTTTCTCCCCATGGGCCGCTGGAGCTGGGGAGTCAACTGCGGCCAGCACCAGGTCCCCTCGACCCAGCGAGTCCCGGGCCAGTTCTGCCGGGTGCCGAGACGGGTGCTGGGAGGGAGGAGGCGGGCCGGCAGGCCCCGAGCACCAGGAGAGAGCAGGGCTGGGGCGCTGGGGAGCCCCGGCCTGCAGGGGACAAGCTCCCCTCTGAGAGGAAGAAGCTGAAGGTGGAGGAGCAGGGGAGCCAGGAGCAACTGGAGCCTCTGGGAGCAGGAGAAGCCCCCGGTGGGCCCACACAGGCCATCTCCCTGCCAGCCGAGAGCCAGGACAGCCATCTCAGGGAGAAGCCCGGGGGGCCGCGCGGGAGTGGCCGCAGCCCGACGAGGGACAGGGCTGTGCAGCCAGATGTGCCCTCGGAGGCTGCTTCTTCTGTGGCCCTGAAGAGGGTGGAGCCAAGGGACAACGAGCCCCCACTGTATGCTGCAGCAGCCACGCCCGAGCCCCGTTCCCCACTGACCCCCCAATCTCAGGCTCCCAGTGGCCTCACCACCCAGGAAGACACTGCCTTCACCCCTAAATACCTCCTCCGGCTACCTCAGGGAGAGACCCACCCACCCCTGCCTGTCCCCAGGAGCCCAGGACAAAGCCAGGAACCCCTCTGCAGGCGCAGATGGCCTGGGGAGTGTCCATCCTCTGCTCGACCAGGAGTGGGGACCCTCCTGTCTCCTGGTCCAGCCTCAGGCCTGGCCCCAGGAGGAGCAGACTGCTTGAACAAGAGAATGGGGGTGCAGGGAGAAGAGAGGGGGGACACAGCAGACATGAGCACCCCAGCAGCTGGGGAGCCTTTCAGCTCAGCTGCTGGGGCCCCCAGGGGGACAGTTTCCTTCCTGACCACCCCCTCTGACATCCGACACCTCTGTATGGGCAGCACTTTGTCAAGGGCCAGGCCCTCCGGGGATGCCCTCCACTCCTGGGTGCCCAACCAGGAGCTGGGGGCGCCTCCTGGGAACGCCCTGGAAGACCCAACTTCAGGGCCCCTGGCAGGGCCCCGCCAGTGTGGCCAGCCCAGCTGGCCCGAGCCAGCCTCGTCTGCCCACTCAGGGACGCCCTGGGGCGGCGGGGCCCAGAGTCCTTTCCCCACCCTGCGGACCGAGCCCCGGCTCACGTGGTGCTGCCTGAGCCGCAGCCTCCCTCTGCCTGCGGAACAGAAAGGGAGGGCCGCCTCCGTGTACCTGGCCCTGCACGCCCCTGGCCGCAGCCTCCCGGACGAGGGTCGGGACACCCGGCCCGTGAGCAAGGCAGCGCCAGCGCGGGGAGGACAGACCAGCGCCAGCCAGGACGGAGGAGGCCCGGCACGGCCGCCCAAGGTAACAGCCCGCTGGGGGCCGGCCGGGGGGAGGGCATGGTTATCGTGGCCGTGTCCAAAACCGGCGGGCCCGTCCCCTGCCCCGGGGTGGGAGAGAAGCGGGCCACGAGTAAAGACATTTATGAAAAAAAATTTCCGAGGAAAGAATTGCTGTGCTCAAAGCGCTGGGTGAGATATTTTCACGATCAGACATACAGTTTCACTCTGAGTTTCCAGGTAACAGAGGCAAAAGTTGAACGAGACGCTGCCCAGGACAGCTGGCTGGCAATCTAAGCTGACGAGCCAGAAACTCTCATTGAGAGACGGACTTTGACAAGAATCCATCTCTTTAAAGGAGAGAGCCTTTGTACTGGGCGCTCTGGAGAAATCCTGGGGTGACATCCAGCCTATGTCTGAGCTTCCTGGGAGCCGTGGGGAAAAGGGAAGTTGGTGGGTGCTTTAGAGTCCTCACCCGCTGATTCCACGATCACCCAGTGGCTGAGCGCACGCCATCCTGGGAGGGCTGCCACGCACCTGGCTTTGCCTCAAAGACGATTCCCTGCCTTGGGATGGTTGGGTCAAGGCTGATCCTGAGCCTCTGTCTCACTAAACCCCACAGGGTGGGACAAGGCCTGTGCCCCAGAGCCGGGCAGCTGTCCTCTCCTAGGGGGGCAGGTAGCTGTGGCAGCACTTTCTCTGTGCCAAGAGGGGTAGACTCGTGAACGCATTGGGCCCAAGGGCAGGTGACGCCAAGGTTTAGACCCCTCCCTTGGGTTAGGCGTGGGATGTGGGGACTCCTGGGGAGGGAGGCCTGGGGGAGATGATAGGAGCTGACCGTGGTACCCACAGGCTTCTGTTTACACCAAAGGCCTGGGTTTTGCTCTGTGGATCCCTCCCAGGCAGGGTTCCAGAAAGTTCCGCGCAGGAACGCTCAGACAGAAATGCAGCCTTTCCGTGCCTTGATTTCCCCAGAGAGAACCCTTCTGTGTCGTTCCCACCACGAGGGCTGTGAGCAATGTGATGTCAACATGCCTGGTATTTTCAGCTCGCCCGCCCAGTAGCCCCAGGGGTGATGTCCCGGCACCAGGTGCCTGAGCCAGAGTGGAAGACAGGACCGCCTCGTAGGAGGGCGAAGAGGTCTCGCGCGCGCAGCAAGCTGAGCAAACTTGGCACCAGCTCCAAAAGGTAGGGCCGCCTCTCTGTGGTGTCCACGTGCATCCACCCGGAAGTCAGCTGCCTTCTGGCTGGACCCCCAAGAAAAATTTACTGTGGGGTTCCGAAGCAGCCCTGTGCCCACGAATGAGCTGCTGTTTGGGGTCGGGGTCGGGCTCTGCTCTCCCCGTCGGCCCCGGGCGCTGCGGGTGTCAGGGCGGCCTTTCTGGGCCAGGAACCCAGCAAGTATTTGAAATAACCGAGTTGAAAACACATCCATCCAGTTTAAGTCCTGAAGAGAGAGTGTGTAAATTATTTACAGCTTTTATTGCTTTTTAATTATGCAAGCATTGCATGTCCTTTGCAGAGAAACCAGAAAATATAGATGAGGAAGGAGAAGACGATAAAGCTTCCCGTCCCCGTGCAGGCTGCTAATGTGGGTGCCCCTGGGCGCCCCCTGGGCCGGTGCACGTGCACCTGCCGGCGACAGAGGGGGCTGTGGGCGCCGCCCCCATCCATCATGTCCTTCCTCCACTGCCTGGCTCCTCTGCTCCAAACCCTCCTGGCCGCCCCCGCGCACACGCTAGAAAGCAACTCCCTCTTGGTCTCGTTTCCCACCGTCTCCTCCCGACCCCCACCCCACGGTGACTTCCTGCCATCCTGGCCCCTCCTGGGGTCTGCTCCGCACTGGGCCCTGCTCCTGGAGCTGCCTGATCCCTCCACGCCTCGGGCCACTCACCCCCCGACTCGCTCCCTGCCGGCCCCCGTCCTCGCTGGTCTCTGGCACTGCGGCTTCCCAGTCCTTCCCGGGCGCTGAGCCCCGCAGTCGGTGCTGCGCTACCTGCCTGGGCCCAGGGCCCCCCACCCCACTGAGGGCTTGCTGAGGGCCGGGCCCTGCACAGTGACTGAGACAAGGGCTACGACTAGCTGCCCGGGGACTCTGCTTCGAACCAGCCTCACTCCAGAGCCGTGTGCCAGGCAGTGGCCGCCCGGGCCCAGCAGGCAGCAGGTCCATGTCGCCTGGGCTTCCCGGGATGGGTCTCTCGTGGGGGTCTCAGCAGACGAAAGCCAAAGTGCCCCTGCGTTCCTCTGGGGCGCCGTGAGCACTGGTGTCCTGCTGCCTCAGGCAGGCGACAGCATCGGTTGTGCCCCCGGCCCCAGCCAGGCGGGCCCCTCCCGCAGGCCAGCGCTGACTTTCTTCCGTCTCCTCGCGCCGATGCTGGGCACGGACGTCTTCCGGGGAGGTGGGGGTCATATTCTGCCCGCCCTCCGCTCCCACGTGAGGGGCTGAGCACACACACTCGTGCCAATTTGCACGCCCACGTCTGCGGTGTGTGGTGTCTGCTTGTCTGTCGTCACCCCCCGGCACGTGGGGTCTCACCCCAAGAAAGAAGTCTATGTCTTCATTCCCTTTCGCCCCTTCACTCGGGTTACCCTAACAGGCCTCAGAGAATGAGATTCTTCAGCGGCCTCCCCCACCCCCCGCAGGCCTCGGGCCCCAGGGAAAGGGAAAATTCGCGTACCCACAGGGCCGTCCTCGTCTCACAAAAGCAGTAAGTGCAGGACTGTCAGAAAATATACTACAAAGTGATCCAGACTGAACAAGTGCTGACATTTTGCCATATTTGCTCATGAGCCTTAAAAATAAGACAAAATATTTCTTCGTGTGTGGTGCAGGTCCTGTAAGGTGAACACTGCAACAAAGGAAATTACGTGGCTGTATGTACTTGGGACTAGTTGTCTCCATCCACGCTTGCATACTTTGCAAAATAATATGTCTACGAATAAATACAATATTGTTTTGTGGCTTTAAAAGTGTTTATTGCTATCCCGGCATCAGCCACTCTTCAGTGAGACTTTCAAAGACGTTGTCTGTCTTCGTGGGTGCAGGACACTGGTGCCCCCAGGCGATAGTCAGTCATCCCCGTTCTGTAGATTTTTCATCTTATGAGCAGAATGCACTTTGTTTTCCAATCCCTTATCTGTGAACATATAAATTGTTTTCAAAAACTTTTTTTTTCTGGCTTTGCAGTGAACTTGCTTATACGTATCTCTTAGGCGTGATGTAAGAGGTTTTCTAAGAAATGGACCCATGAGTGAAATTGCTGGGTTCTAAGAGAAGCACATTTTCAACCTTGTAAGTTTTACCAAGTCCCTGTACGGGGTGGCTGTGTTGTTTCTCATCCTCCAGCTCTGGGGGGTGAGTGTTACTCCTCCTCCCACACCCTAACCTAGGTTTGTTGTTAACAGATTTTTTTTTTCTCTTTGCATTTCATTTGGATAATTTCTATTGGTGTGCTTTCAGATTCACCAATTTACATCTTCTGTATTTCTATTTTCTTCTAGCTCCTTGACCAAATGAGGCTTCTTGGTCATCCTTTTAAGTTGAATCTTATGGAAGAAATTAATTAAGAGAAATTTTTTTTAAAATTTTATTTTTATATTCCCCATACAATTGCAACCCCCTTATTTTGACCCCAATCCCTCCCCCAACCCCCCACCCCTTATAGAGTGTCTCTGGTTCATAGTTGTTTGTTGATTATGGTTTTCACTTTCTTATAGATATTCATTTTCCTGGTCCCTTATTTAAGTTTTCTAGATTCCTGCCATGAGTGAGACCATCCGGTACTTTTCTTTTTCTTTCTGGCTTCATTTTCTTGCCCAATGAACATGACTTGTAGGCTCTGTATGTCGTCTAGATTTGTTCTGTCACATATGCTGCAGGGAGTGTTCAAGGCCATTGCTTGTTTTTTAAGTCCATTGTATTTAGCCACAGAATTGGGCGTATCTTTCTTCTCATTCCTTTTTGCTTATCAAATCTTCCTTCTGGGATTGTTTTCTTCTGTCTGAAGCATATTCTTTAGAATTTCCTTTAGAGAAGAAAATTCTGGCATTGGTAGGCTGAAAACACATTTATCTCATCCTTGTTGTTGAAAACATTTTTGCAGGGTATACAATCTCAGATTGACGTTATTTTCTCTCAGCACATCAAAGCTCATACTGCATGATCCTCTGACACCCATTTCATGGCAGCAAAGTCTGCTATTAGACTCCCCTCTGTCTTTTGAAGGTCTTTTATCTCTGGCTACTTTAAGATCTTCTTTTAATCTTTGGTATTCCGTCGTCTTTCTTTGATGGCTAAAGGCGTGTGTTATTGTTTATTCCATTAGGAATCCATTGGTTATTATGATCTGTGGATTGATGTCTACCTAGAAAATTTGTAACCATCATTCTTCAAACATTGCCTGTATTTCATTCTCTCTCCTCTTTTTGAAACTTTGGAACAAAGTATATCAAAGCTTCTCTATCTTTCATCTCTCTTAAACCTCATTTTCCAAAACTTTGTCTTTCTGTGCTAAAATCTGGATACTTTGCTCAGAACTATCTCTAAGATGTTACTAGTTTTCTTAGTCCAGAGTTGTTTATTTATTTATTTATTTTTTGCCAAGCTCTATGAGGTATATTGAATTTGGATGAATTTTGCATTTTTAAAGTGTACAGTTTAATTTTGACTTATAAACACACTGTGGGGCAACACAGGCAAGATAATGAAGGTGCCACTGTCCCCCCAAAGCTTGCCTGTGTCCTCGTGTCCCGCTGTAGTTCCTCCTTCCTGTTCTCCTGGCTGCCTTCCCGTGCCCAGGTAGCCACCGTGGGCTTTCTGTCACTGTAGATTGGTTCACATGTTCTAGACTTCGATAGAAAAGGGGGAATCATGTGGCACATGCTCTTAACTTTTTTCCATTTTTCCTTTTCACTCAGCATGATAATTTCCAGGTTTCCCCGTGTTGTTGTATTAACTATTCATTCCTTTTCATTGTGCAGTAGGCGGCATGGAGTGGCTGTGTCGCGGTCTGTTTAGACCCCACTCCTGGGCACACATTTGGTTTGTTTCCATTTTAGGCTGTTAGAAAGAAAAACTACTGTAAGTATTGATGTGCAAGACTTTGCATGAATATATCCTTTAAAGTCTCTTGGCTAAACCTCTAAAAGTGAAATGTCTGCATGGTAAAGTAGATGCATGATTAACTTTTTACAGAAACTGACAAACTATTTTCCAAAGTGCTTGTATCATTTCACCAGCAGTGTGTGAAGACCCAGTTTCCCTCAGTCTTGCCCTCACTTAGTGTGGCTGTTCTCCTTAGTCACTCAAATAGGTGTATAGTGGTGACATTATAGTGTGCATTTGCCTTTTCTTTTTTTTTTTAAAGATTTATTTATTTATTTATTTATACATACATACAAGCACTGGGTACAGTCAGAAGCGCGGGAGGGTGAGAGAATTCACCAGAGCCAGAGCGGGGAGCAGAGCAGGCAGAAGGACCGAAGGACACTGCTGAGGGGAGCAGCGGGCGGCAGGAGAGGTCTGCGCGCCATGCGGGACCCTCCTCCTGTGGCCGGGGAGCAGCCGGGGATTGAACCAGCGCTGCAGAGGCTGCGGGCAGCTTCGCAACCCAGCGCTCAACCGCCGCGCCACCGGGGAGACCCGCATTTGCCTTTTCTTAATGGTGGCTGACAGTAAATATCTTTCACATGCTTATTAGCTATTCACGTGTTTTCTTTGGTGAAATACTGTTCATATCTTTTGCCTATTATAAAAATGGGTTGTTTGTTTTCTTGTTACTGAGTTTTGAAAGTAATTTATACACTCAGTTTATAAGTTCTTTATAAGATATATGATTTGAAAATATTTTCTTCCAATCTGTGCTGTGTTTTAATTCTCTTAACAATGTCTTTTAAAAAACAGACAGTTTAATGTCTGTGTGTAGACATTAAATGATGAAGTCCTACGATCATTCTTTTCTGTTGATTGTTCTTTCAATGTAATAACTACAACAACCTTTCACTGATTTGCTGCCTCAAAGATTTTTATCCTAAATTTTCTTCCAAAGTGTTTTAACATTCAGGCCTGTGATGCATTTTTGCTTAACTTTTATATATGGTGTAATGTGTACATCAAAGTTCTCATGTTACGTACACGTGTATATACAATCATTCACCTCACTGTCTATTTTGTTTATCTCATTGTCTGTTTTCTACTTTGATGGAAACACCGCGGCATTTTAATTTTACTACTTGCTTTGATAACTTACTATAAAGCATCAAAGTAGACAAATAAGTTAATGGACTAAAGAGTATATAAATAAACCAAGCACGTATGTGCTCAATTGAGTTTTGCTTAAAGTTTCGCAGGAAATTCCGTGCAGAAAGGATAGTCTTTCCTACACGTGGACCCAGGGAATCTCCCCACCAGCAAGCTGAAGCCTCACAGGCTCCCCTTGTGTGTTCCTCTTCTCTCAGGGATCCCAGTTCTTCCTCACTCAAGGCCCAGGTCTTGAAAACCAGTGTCTCACACATTTGTCCGGAAGTTTTGTTTGGAGGGTGAACTTATTGCTGTTAGACCTCCTTGGGCAGAAGACTCCCCTGGACTAGGTCCAGTAGTGCAGAGTTGGTTCCCCTGCTTTTATTAATTTGCAGAGTTTTCAATTTTATGAACAAGGTGGAGTATGTTTTATTTTTTTTTTTATTAATTTATTTTTTGGGGGGGACCCTCACTGGTGGCTGGGGATCGAACTGGCGCTGCAGAGGCTGTGGGCAGCCTCGCACCCAGCACTCAACCGCTGTGCCACCAGGGGAGGCCCAAGGTAGAGTATGTTTTATTTCCAAAATGTTTCATTGAATTATTTTTCAAATCTGCTTGGTAATTTTTATCATCTTTTGTTCTTTGCTCCTCTTGACTGAGGTATGTTTGGCAAACAAAAGAGGGCACAGTCTGAGCATTCTTGATGACTCTGGAGATAAACATATAGCCACGAAACTGTCACCACATACACGGTCTTCAACTTGTCTATCAGCGCCGGGAGTTGCGTTCCTTTCTCTTTTCTTACTTGAAACCCTGGAACACACACACACAGCATTGTTGACGCCTGCTCCAGGGCCGAGGACAGCCGTCTGGGCCTAGTCAAGCTGTGGAAGTCACACTTTATAACCTGGATCCATACCTCCTGGGTTCTCTCTCCCTCCAACCCCTGATAACCACCCCTCCTCTGGCTTTATGAATCGGACTTACTGCATTCCTGAGCTGTGGATCATGTGGAATTTGTTCTCTAGCTGACTTTCACGTAGCATCTTTCTCTTCCCAATTCATCCATGGTACAGCTCTTCAGCGTGATGCTGTCCCACCTCTTTATTTTTGTTTTGGGGGCCACATGCACATGTGGCCTCCAAAGAAACGTTGTGGAGG